ATTCTGAGCCCACAAAGTCTGTGTGACATTGCTTATTGCCAGTTTTAATCATCTATGTTTTTAAGTTTTCACCTTTGAAATATAACTAGATTCCCTTTAGAGAAGTGTAGTTTGAATAGTAATCCTTTACTTTCTACATTCTATACTGGTGGGGGAGAAGTCTGGCCTTACTCTATCCTTCCAACATGTACAGTGACAGAGGCACTTAGCGATAGAGGCAAATAGCATGGCATTTGGACTTGTTCCAGCACACTACAATCTGGCTCAACACAGCTAGTGACACATTTGCTAACACCCCAGCCACACCACGCAAGGCACCTCAACAGCAGTACAGTCAGTCACAAGGATCAAGGAAATCTGGTCAAAGGCCAAGGAAAACCGGGTCCTTGCACAGGTTTTATCAAAATGCAACCAAGCTTTATCAGAAGTGTAATCATGTGACTCCTTTTTCACTCTATGAGGGTTGGTTTTAATGAATATAGTAGAAGAATATGACATTTCTAGTGACCTTCTATCATTAGAGACAACTTCCAAGTAGCTCTAAAAATATTCCATTTAGCTGTTTCAAAAATTCTGAGTTTCTCCCAAAAAAAGGGTAAAGGAAGAACAAAGTTGGGTGTCCTATTTTAGAGAACAGAAAACCAAAGCTTAAGAGCGACTCTCCTGACAAGAAGTGGCAACAAGCCACAACCGGGACCTGCATATCTTAGGTCAGAATTTCAAGGTTTTTCAAATAGAAGTTGTTACTTCTACATGAGGATGAAAAAGGAGGGAAAGGGGCTGGGGATTTAGCTCAGCGGCAAAGCGCCTGCCTGGCAAACGCAAGGTCATGAGTTCGGTTCCCAGTACCGGAGGAAAAAAAAAAAATGAAAAAGGAGGGAAAGAGTGCAGGAAAGGAATATGAGAGAGAAAGAACAAACAGATGATGTAGCTTTGTTAATATCCCTGTCCCCAAATTCTTACCTTTTTCTTGATTAGGACAGGATGCTGGAGCCAGAGGTGACAGGAACAAGCAGAACAGATGAGAAGTAGACAGATTTGTGCTGGCTCCATATGCTACTCTGCCCCCCTCCAAATCACAAAGATTTGCTTCAGATCCTCAAATAAAACTATATGTAAAAACTATAAAAACAACAAACCAGCAAAGCTCATATTTACAGCCAGCTGCAGCCACTTAGGTGTTTTTCTTGGCAAATATTCAAATACCACACACCAGCATTACATGGTTAATACTATTTTAGTCAAAATGATGTGTTCAAATCACCTGAATTGGGTTTTTGTTTGATCATATTATCACTAACAGGTTCTCACACAACACCCTTCACTGCTGATGCACTCACAAGAAAGACAAGGACACTAGCATTTTCTTAGAAAAGGAAAAAAAAAAGGCAGTTCTCAGTAAAAGACAAACCACAGAGCTACTGCATTTACATGAGTTCAACACATCAAACTTCCCTCTCTCCCTCTCCCTCCCTTTCTTTCTCTCTCTCTACCAAAATGATGTCTAGGTTATATCTAGTCCAAAAACATGACCTAACTCAGAATAAGGAGCTAGGACCAGCATCCTACTCGTGACTTGGTCTGACACTGAGGATGATGGAATGGCATTCCAGGTATCCCTTTTGCTATTCTCACAGCTCTAAGCCCCCACCATAATCCAGAGGTTCTCACTTACTGGGATACTGTGTCATCTTTCGCAGAACAGGCTGGTCAGAGTTCTCTCAGTGACAAAACCTTTGTGGCCTACCTCAAAGTACAAGGAAGTCACAGCCCCTCAGGGACCTCAAGGTACTCAAATGGTATCAAATTTTAAAAATTAAAGGGGGACTGGAAGAAGCACTTCTGTTGAGTCAAAAACCTATCAATAGACAAAGTAGGGACCAAAATAACTAAGACAAGACAATGACCTTGAGGTTGCGTCCCAAACCAGGTGGGAAGTGAATTAGCTGGCTGAAAAATGCAATCATCTCCATGTAGTGGTGGCTGCAAAAGTCAAGCCTCTTGAAGGGAAAGCTGAGAAATACAGGAGAAATCAAAGAGAGGGGAACAGAAGGACAAAGAATGAGGAGAGTGAGAAGATGGAAAAGTAGGAGCAGATACAGGCTGCCAGGATGAGCACAGAAAGCATCAGACAGCCCGGGACTTGAAGGAAGACATGCAGTGAGGAGGAAAAGATGGAGGAGGTCAGACAAACATCCCCCATTAAGCTCAGGAGGTGGTCGTAAAATCTAACCCTTCCACCTGCTTCCAGAGTTTCAGTGCTACACATGAAGTTATTTTAAAAGCTTTGGAAATATAAACAATGTTCATGAGGACTCTGAGTTGGCTCTAACCTTGATATCCATCCATCTGGGTATTTTCAAGGTGGACTTCAATGTTTAAAAGTTATGTGTGATGTGTTTTACCTTTTGAGCTTTTGACAGAAACTATAAAGAAGCAAATTAAAGCCAAGAGGGGCATTTCTAGCTGCCACACTAACCAAATAATGTCAGGTTATAAAAAAAAAAAATCACCCTAAAAATAAAATTACACTTCAGGCCCTAGGGCATATTTCTATAAATAACACTTCCCCAGAACCCAACTCTAGTAAGCCACACTAGTCTCTTAATGAAGTACCTTATGCATGTTATTGGGGGATCTCCACATGGCTCTAGATTTATCTTGATGCTTTGGATATCAAAAGGACAAGATATTGCATTCTTTCCTGCATTTAAAGGCTTGCTCCTTGGCAGGATGCAAAGAGAGGTGATTTCAAATGCTGCTGGCAGAAAAATATAAACTGCTACGCCAGTTAGAACGCAGTCTGGAAATATTTATATGAATTTAAATATAAATCTGATCACAGAGATGTGTACTACAAAAGATGTAGTACACTCATTCCATAAATCATATTTGGTATTATTTTTAAAATATTTTCTAATAGGAAGACCAAAAATTCATGTCTTGTTTTGTTGATTCTCCATTTCTTTGATTATTAAGGAGGTTCAGTAGTTTTTACAGTTCATTAGCCCCTTGTCTTGGTTATTTTTCTCTTGTTGCTAAGGCAAAATACCTGACACCCAATATTCAGGAAGGAAAGGTTTATTTAGCTCACAGTTTGTGAAGGTTTCAGTCTATACTCAGCTGGCTCGAAGGCAGAGTGGCACATGGCACTGGGCAACTGTTCATAGTGGTGGACGACAGCAAAGTAACAAGAGCAAAAAAGGGAGGAGTGGTGGCAAGCAACCTCATTTTCTCCCTTACATATGCAAACTATCCGCCCCAGGGTGGGTGTAGCACTCACACCCATAATCCCAGCATTGGATCATGAATCAATCATAAACTCTAAAAGCCCACCCCATGACTGCACAAGGCTTTGGGGGGACATCCAGACACAAACCATAACACCCCTCGTGTCCATATTTGCGAATTTTTAAAAATGTAATTTGACCAGGTGTGTAATTAGAGTCCCAGTGCATTTACTATTGATTTGTCTGATATAATCAAGCTTTTAGTTTAACTGCCTAGTTTATATTTTTCCAGTTTTTCTGCCTTTGTTGCTATTATTTATTATTATTTCTACAGTTATTCATTATCAGTGCTAATTCTGTGTGTGGAAAGCTATACACAAGGGTGTTAACACTGGCAACCTGAATAGGGGGATTAGGACAACTGCAGGAAAGAAATAAATAAGTGGAAAATGGAAAAGGAGGCCAACCATAAAAACCCCATGGGTGTTGTGATCTCATGGGAAATAATGTGTGTGCAATTATGTACACCTTTATGCAAAAATGATTACAAGATGGTCACCAAAATGCCAGCAGTTTTCAGAGTAGTAAGAGTTTTTAAAGATAATTTTACTTTATTCCTTCATTCTTACATATACTTTTTCAAATATTTACAACTACATGGATTATCTGTGTAATCAGAAAAAATTCATTGAGTAGAGGGAATTATGGAGAGTCCTATACAATACCGGCTTGCTTCTGCTCTGGGCAATACAGGTACTCAGAGCAAAGCAAGCAGGTAGATGAAGTTGTAAGATCAAGTTAAACCAGACTAACCTGAAGGTTCTAAGGGTCTGGCAGAGATCAGGAGAAAAAGTATTTGTATAAAATGTGTCAACACATTAACGATGGGGTTGTATTTTTGTTTGCTTGTTTGGTGTGGACAATGAGTGATTTTTTTTCTCTCTTTTTTTTCCTTATTTTCTATAAAAACTTATCTTGCTCTTATAACCAAAATGAAAGTTTTACATAAAAAATAATGCAGTGAATATTTTTAAGTGGGAGTAGATAATCATCAAACTGATGTTTTAGATTATAGGTCTACAGTGCCCTTCCATTTTTGAAGCAGTGCTGTCAGTGTAAGTGGATAAGGGTCCTAAATACAGAAGAAACAATGGAAAGAGATGATCTAGAAGGCTTTAAATGTATTAATATGAAAAGAATGAGGGCTGGGGATATAGCTCAGCAGCACAAGTACCTGCTTAGCAAGCGCAAGGTCCTGAGTTTGATTCCCAGTACCAAGAATAAAAATAAATTTTAAAAAAGAATGAATGAGCAAAACACTGCAAAAGAAGAGATAAGTCTCAGTAGCCTTTTGTAAAGTTGATATGGATGTTTGTAAAAACACATTGACTGGATCCAAAAATTACCGAGAATTGTAACGGTTTTAAAGACTGGTCCATTTTTAATATCTAGGCTTTAAATATTATTACATCTTGGAATGCATATTGAAGGTACAAGATCCAAGGGAAAAGACAAAATAAGTAAAAGAAACTATACAAGATAAACTACATGCAAATGACCTAAGAGGTTTTACTTCAGACAAAAATATGCAGCACTAGAAGGCACTGCTTCAGACAAACAGTGAGATTTGTAGGTCAAATAAAAATATTCTTAGGTAACTTCTGGCTTGATTCATTTTATACTATAGTCAATATAACCAGTTTATTATCAGGGTTAGAAGATGTCAATTTAAAAGTTTCTGCTCAGCTGTGGTTTGCTTTTTTCTAACAGCCTGTACACTCTGAGAATTCCCATTCCTTTGGAACACTTGGAGAGAGGACTGTGGCATTCTATGGAAGAAAATGGTAGAAGGTAACTCCTAAAGAGTCTCCTGGCTTAAGGATTTTGATTCAAGATGAGACACATGCCAACCACCAGTTAGTTCTTATCCTTCTCTCTCACACATGTTCCATCTGAGGTAGTTTACTAAATAAACTCTGTTTATGCTTTCTGGCATTCCCGAAGCTGATGTAATATAACTGAAGGCAAACAATTTTAGCAATGCAATTCATGCATTGCCATCTAAATACCATGTAATCATGAAACTAAAATGTTTACCAAATAATCAAAGACTAAGACAGAAACAGACTGAAAGGTATTTTGTGAGACACGTATTGAATTATACTTCCAATAAAGGAATTGGTTGAGTTATCCTGAAATGGTTTCTCAGAAAAACTTAAGTGTGACTTGGTTTCTAAGTACAAAAAAAGACTTATGCTGTTATTCCCAATAGTCAGGAAAACATTAGGAGAAGTTGAGCTGGTTTTTGTGGAGAAACAGAATTTTCCCGACAAGTTTCAGGATAAGTTGCTCAGAAAGCAAGCACCATCTTCCTCCATGTTACCGCCTACTCCACCCGGGATTTTCCTCCACATAGGAAGACACCTCTAATATCCTGTATCACTCTTCCTTCTCTCTCTCTCTCTCTCTGTCTCTGTCTCTCTCTCTCTGTTTCTCTCTGTCTCTCTGTCTCTCTGTCTCTGTCTCTCTCTCTCTCTCTCTCTCTCTCTCTCTCTCTCTCTCTCTCTCTTTCTCTCTCTCTCCCCACTGCTATGTAAGCAGTCTCAGCATGGACTCCTCACCAATCAAATTCTTTCTCTTCTTTCAAATATTACTCAAAGTTCACCTCTTCTCTGACTGACACCAGGAACTACTAGTCTTTCATTCTTCCTGTATCCTACCTTGCTCTGTACACTCAATCAACATGAAATAATTGTTATCCCACCAGACCTTCCAAAACCCTAGTGAGGTCCCCTCTTGTGGCCCAGTGGGTCAATAAGAACACTTCTTCTTCCATTTCTTTCCTATTTTCTTGTCTCTTTTTTTTTTAATTTAGTATTTTCTGAACACCTACTTTATGCAAAGCATTGGTCAAGCTTTGTCCATGTATTATTTCATTTTATTTCTTCACAGGCCTTCCCAAAATTAAGCATCTCTGCCAATCTCATGCATCTTTTCTGTGTCTTTTATGGCATCAGGACCTACTTACTGCCCTCCACTCTCTCCCCTGGCATTGTGGTTTGAGTCTTCTCTCCCCTGAGCCCTCCTGTTAAACCAGCTGTAACTCTGAATCTCATACCTGGCTAGTCCTTTTTATTCCCTTGCCTTTTTATCTCTTCTGAATGCCAAAGAGATCTGGTCTTCTTGCTTCCAGTTCTGCTGCAACTAAGTTATTCTAAAGCAGGAGCTGTAGAGATCACAGCACGTCTAAACCTTTATGTAATGCCCTTGTCTACATAATATATATGCTGAGCTTCTTCATTTCGCATTGAATTTCCCACCCTACCACCTTTTCAGTCTTATTTTGCAAACATACAGGATTCCTAGTTTTCCAAATACAACATGTAATTTCACTCTTGTTGGATTTTGTTCATGATGTTCCTTCCCTCTGTGTGGATTTTTCCTATCTCTTTCTTAGAGGAAAAACATCCTGCCTTTCAAGCCTAGCTCAAGTGCCACCTAATCCTCCCAAGTCAAAATCAATTGTTCTTTCTTTTGAACTTTCTCAGCTTCAGTTGTCTCAGCTCTAAGGTTGTGTCTGCCTCATAAACTCATGGAAGGCACAGCTAGAGTCTATTTTCCTTTGCATTCCAACACCACGCCTCAGTCAGGTGCACATAAGCAGAAAGGAAGTTACTAGCGCAGATCATGAATTTTACCAGCCACCATTGGCTTCCAAATGTGCCTCGGAATTTAAAGTTAACAAGCATTCTTCATGTGCTTACGATGAAGATACACTCTGCCAGGCACTGCAGAGGTGAGCAAGGTGGGAGCAAGGTTTATAACACATCTAGTTGAAGATCTGCCTCACTTTACTATGTTAATGCATCAAATACACTCTGATTATGAGGACATAACCTGGTTTTGGGGGTCACCAATCACTCATAAGCCTTTCTCCTTCAGCTGGTACATCAAGAGTAAGATCTCTGTATTCCAAAATATACCCAGGCTCAGAACTCTGGAAACTGAGCTTCTCTTTTTCCCCGGGATGAACAGTGTGCTGATACAGAAAATGAAGGCACTCATCACTCGGCAGTCCTAATCCTCAAATCTATAATCTACTTCAACTTCAGCGAGGCCAAACATTTAAAGCCATGAAAGTAACTGAGAAAACAAGAATGTCTGGAAAACCTAAGAATTTTATTACCTGTGAAGTTAAACTGGGGGATGGAAACTTTGTAAGGATGATAAATTTTTTTGTTTGTTTGTTTAAAACACCGATATCTTGAGAGCAGCTGTGCAAATTTTTCTCAAGCACTAGAGGTGATCTATAACATAAGGTGACCATATGTCCCAGCTTGTCAGGGAAAGTCCTGGCTTACACCTGTTGTCCCTGCAAAATTATTAATAGTGACTCCCTTTCACTCACAAAACTGTGCCAGTTTGGGTAGTGAATTATATGACCACTGTATTGACACTTCTATCAGGTACCAGGAGCTTCTCCACACAAAAAAATGACAGTTTGCTCCAGTATACCAGGGAGCAGAAGAAAGGGTCAGAATCCAGGCTTCCAGACACCAAGCCCAGGCTCTGTCTACAACACCACATTCCCTCTATGTGATTCCTTCATCAACTAATCAACAGAAAAACACTACATGAAATGGTAAAGATACATAAGCCATGGTTTCTGCAAAAAGTACTTACAGTCTTGCTGGAGAGATAAAGCACATACATATTCAACAGTTACTCATTAATTAAAGAGGACCAGAGTATAATCCCAGCACTCCAGAAGACTAAGGCAGGAAGGTCAGAAATTAGAACCCACCCTGGGCAATATAGCGAGTCCTGTCTTAGAACTTAAAAAAAAAAAATTAAACGGGTTGGGGATTTAGCTCAGTGTGAAGGTCCTATGTTCAGTCTCAGTGTCACCAAGAGATACGTTCATAATATGGTGTCAGTTTTGTGGTTCCAAAAGGGCTAGAGAAAACCTCTAAGAGCTTTAGTCTACAGAGATGGTTTTTGGGGGTTATGGGTCTAAACTGGGCCTTAAAGGAAGGAACAGGCAGAAAGGAGAATAAAAGATATTCTTCTTGAAGAAAATAGATAAAAGTAGAAAATAAAATCTGAACAGAAATAAACCACTGAAGTGATTCTACAAGTATTACCCTATATTCGAGAAGAGAAAAATCAAACACAAATAGTTCTTATGGCTTTCCCAAATTGTTGCAGTGATTTCAGGCTCACCAAATATAGTAAGTGTCTTAACAACTAGACAAGAGTTAGACAGCACCCCTCTTTGTGATGTGGTGAGGAAAAAAGTGACCATCTTTTGAATTCTGTCCCAACTTTTCTACCAACTGACATATGTGTCCCCGGGCAAATGGCTTCATCAGTTTTGAGCCTCTTATTTTGTTAAACAAAATCCTAGGGTTGAATGAAATGTTTTCTAAAAATCCTTTGACCTTTGGCAATCCATGACCCTTTAGAATCAATTCCAGGTCTTGCTCAGTATGTTTGAGATTTAGTTCCAAAGTAGATTTAAATGTTCATTTCCAGAAAAATGGCAAACATTGGGTTGATCCTATATGGGTTTCTTCCCCACTACAAAGAAGTGTCATTTTCAAAATAACTCAGAGTTCAGCCTGGAGAAAAAGAAGGAAGGAAAGAAGTGAGGCGCAGCAAAAGAAAAGAAGAGCAGGAGGAAGAGAAGAGCATAGGCTCCGGAAATGAAGATAAAAATTGAATCCAAAGCTTTAACAAAATATTGATTCCATGGTGTCGAAGAGAGCTTCACCCCCACATAAAATCTTGAAGATCTGGAATTGCAGTTGGATCCTAATGTCCATTTACAGACAAGGCCTTGGTCCTGCTTGAGGTAGTCTGGCAGAACTGAACCCCTTTCATAAATCTCAAAGCCTCAAAAACTTCTCCATGAAAGGAAAACTAAAAACACTGCCCACTGGTACAGAGATGCAAGCAAAAACTTCCATTATGTCCATGGTTTGAGATACCAACTGTGGGATCACAATTCATACCACCTATGTATCTGGGGTTTGGGATGAGCAGAAATTAACATAAACACAGCATGAGAATCACAGAAAATTCTTTGTTGCTCAGGGAAAGCAAGTGTGTGGCCACTATGTAGGGACAATCTCACAATTTAAGAGTTATAAAATTCTCCTAAAAAGATAAATCTCTATGAGGCTAAACTTGGCAACACACACACATGACCATAAGGGAGTCATGCAGGTAAAAATTTAGAGATTAAATCATAAGAACTGGAAGTACAACAATCTGAAATGGACTACAAAATATGATTGCTTACTATGACTGCAGTTATTGAAGAAAGAATAAAAACCATAATTTAAAAAAATTAAATGACAAATACAAGATGAGGGAAGAGATTTGAAAAGAAAAAACAGAACTCCTAGGAATAGCTCAATGGACAGCATAAACACTAGAACAGCACAAAATAGATAATCAGTGGATGGGAAGAAAGATTTGAAGAAATTACACCAAAATATATTCTAGGACTTCCAAGTAAAAATGAAGAATTTAACACACGATATCTAATATTGGCTTCACCTGAAACATCACCAAAGCTAAAGGCAGTGAGTGATCTTTTAAAAGATATAACCCACAAGAACAAGTACAGTCAGGAGATCATCCCTTGGACTCATTCATGTTGACATTAGGAATTTCCCCCCATATGCCATAAACATACTATTCTACTGTGATATTCAAAGCCAATAATAACTCCCTCATAATCTTTAGAACTCCTAACACATTTATTGGTTCTCATGCTGAAGTACAGAGTGACCAGGCAATGAAGATGGCCAGATATGTCAGAAAAGCCTCCACAGGAAAGAGAGTTGAAGACAGACAAAAATAAAACAAAATGAAACAACAACAATAACAAAAAAAGCGCAACATGGAGGAAGAAGAAACTTTCAAAAGAGAAAAAATTTTACAAAAAGTTGACATATTCTGAAAACAGAACATAATGCTTTTAAAAA